CATTGCTTAACTGAAGCCAGGCAAAAGTCCGGGACCAGATGGTCTTATAACCACATACTACAAATCCTTCACAGATATCCTAGCACACCCATTTTTAAAGGCCTTCAAATTCGCTAGATACAACAGATCAATCCATGCTCTATCTATCTGAAGCCCACATTACATTGATACCAAAAGAAAATAAAGACTAGACATCGCCGGCAAACTACCACCAGATTTCCCTACTGAATTTCGACCTTAAGATTTTTGCAAAGATTTTGGCCAATTGTCTACTGAGCATTATTGACACTATTATTTCCACTGATCAAGTGGGTTTCGTCCCTGGCAGAGAGGCTAGAGACAACACCATCAGGGCTATAAACATACACCATTGGCTGACACAGAAGAGACAATCTGGCTTCTTCCTCTTCTAGATGCAGAGAAGGCCTTTGACAGACTGGCATGGGATTATATGGAGGCTGTTCTATCTGGTCTCGGGCTTCCTCCCCGCTTCTTGAACTTCATCATGTCCCTATACACGACACCAACGGCTAGAGTGAGAGTGAATGGTCTCCTCTCAGATGCTTTTTCAATATGAAATGGAACAAGACAAGGATGACCATTATCCCCCCTCCTATTTATCATCACACTTGAACCGTTTCTGCACTGCATTAAACAAAATGACAGCATTAAAGGGATTGCAATTAATGGCAAAGCACACAAAATCGCGGCCTTCGCTGACGACATTTTACTTTTCTTAACAGACCCACATATTACATTACTCACCTACTACATGACTTCAAGCTGTTTCAGTATCTAGCCAATTTTAAAATCAACTTCAATAAATCTCAAGTCCTAAATATTTCCCTACCACGAGATATGCTTTGTCAGGCAAAACTTAATTTTCCCTTTACCTGGCAGTCTGAAGCCATCAAGTATCTAGGAATCCATCTCCCGGGCCATCTTACAGATCTTTTTGCCCAGAACTTCTTACCCATCCTCTGAAACATCACTAAAGACCTGCAGACTTGGGATAAACCGTTCTTCTCCTGGTCGGCAGAGCAGCGATCATTAAAATGACTGTGCTTCCTAGAATTCTATACCTATTGCAAACAATTCCAATTAAACTGCCTAATTACTTTTTTAAGTCTTTTAAAACCTTATGATCCTCATTCCTATGGTGTAAAAAACGCCCAGGATTTTGGATTCACGTCTGTATATGTATTGTTATAACTGCTTTCTTCTAACAAAAAATCTTTTTTGGAAAAAAAAAAATTTTCTAGACGGTCAGGCAAAATGTCACCCAAGATTGGGTCATTTTTTAGAATTGCCCAATTCTTTTTAATGATTTTCGTCACCTCTTTATGTTGAGTTGAAAAATTTGTGATGAAGGGGCAGAAACGTTCTGACCTTACTTTTTCTCTGATGTGAGCAAATCAGATCTATTTTTAGCTCCAACCTCTTTAATAGTGTTGTTCAGAGTAAGAATGTCATAGCCTTTTTCTAAAAATCTATTTTTAAGGACATCTGCTTGACAGTAGCAATCATCAATATTCACATAATTTCTCCGTAACCTAAGGAATTGACCTTTAGGTATATTTATTCAGCCACACAAGATGGTGGCAGCTGTCCGTAGGTAAAAAAAAATTTCTATCTGTGCTTTCAAAATAGGTTTTGGTAATGATATTAGTCCCATCATTGATTAGAGTTAAATCAAGAAAATTAATCTCAATGAGATCGTACTGGAAGGTTATTTTTAATATTAAGATCATTAAAATTTAAAGTTGTAAAAAAGTTTAAAAATGAAAACTCGTCACCTTGCCATAAAAGAAAAATGTCATCAATGTAACGACGGTAAAATACAAGGGAGGGCCATTCTCTTGAATATATGAGAGCCCTCCTCCCACTTGGACATGAATAAATTTGCTAGGCTGGAAGCAAATTTTGCTCCCATAGCAACCTCAGTAATCTGGAGATAAAAAGCATGGTTAAACCAGAAGTAATTATGGTGCATAGCGAAATTTAATAAGTCTAAAATAAACATTTTCTGTCGTCCAGGTTTATCCGTGGCCGTATTAATATAAAATTTAATGGCTTCCATCCCGTCTACATGTTTAATATTACTATACAAAGCGGAAACATCCACTGTAACCAGGTAAGTCCTACCTGAGAAACCGGAAATTTTTTACCGGAAAGCCACCGCCGTTAGACATAGGATTGCACCTAATATTGTGGACCCACCTACAAACATTTCCTTTTTTAATGAGTTAAAAGGTTTCCACCCCTGCAATAGGTGTGTCATATGCACGTGCAATAGTACCAGGAAACGTAGGATCGATACCTTCGATTCCTTCATTACCAGTAAGTCTTATGATATAAAACATTTCATCTCATGTAACAGCAGATTTGTGGTATATTTGCTGCAATGCCCTTGCAAGAAGCAGTATGTGGGCAGGACAACCAGACGCTTACGTGATCGCCTACGGGAGCATGTATCTAGTATTAAAAAAAGGCTTTAGAGAGCATTCCTTGTCCAACCATTACCAGTTGTACCATAACAAGGACCCATCATCCCTGAAATATGTGGGGATTGAGGTTATTAATTATCACTGGAGGGGTATTAATAAAACAAGAGCTGTCTCTCAGGCAGAGACCAAGCGGGTCTTTGAGCTGAATACATTACACCCCTTGGGGCATAATATAGAAGTGGATGTCAACTGCTTCATTGTCAACAGCTGACGTTGTTACCTTTCCCTTACCCTTATTCTATTACAAATGCCGGATATGTACACATTCTTATATATGGTTCCTTAGATTATACAGTCTTTGATGCTCCATTCCTGTCCTAGTCTACACTATGGTTTTATAAGTCCCATTTGAAGGTATTTTAGGGATATTCCTTTATGTGATTTTAACATTATATAAGGGGTTATAACCATCAGTAATTTGATCTTGGAAGCTGTTATACATATATATATTTTTTTATACATATATATTTTATTAGTTTAGGATATGGTTATCTTTTTACCTACACTTTTCGTTTTATATATATATATATATATATATATATATATATATATATATATATATATATATATATGAGGTTTTTGACTGTTGGCTTAAATTTCATTTAATTTTATATATCCTATTTGATAGTTATTTTATGGATATTCTTTTATTTGTAACATGATATAAGGCGTTATAATCATGGGAGCTATTTTATATATATTATTTCCTTATATATATATATTTTATTAGCTCATGAGTGGGTTATCCTTTTACCTACATACTACATATTTCATTTTTACATATATATGATGTCTCTGATTGTTGGCTTAATTTTAATCTAATCTTAATTTTATTATTATTTTTTTTATATATTTTATAAATTTTTTTTATTTTCAATTACATTTGGGTTTTAGTTTTGTATTTTTAACATGTTATCTACTAATTAATTTATGAATTATAAGAGCACACTGATCCCATTTTATATATTTGTATGGTTATTTTATTGGAACAAGTAATGCTGATGTTTTTGAAAGATGTGCATATGCACCTATGATCATGTTTTATGTGCTTTGTATATTGCACACCCATCTCACTATGGTTTGATGATGCCGTCCCATTTACTAACATTAATATCATCCTCTTATGGATCTATAATGTTTTGAGTATTTGAAATTATATTTCCCAGGGCTCATAATGACATAATTATAATGGCACTAATTGCAATATGCCCATTTCCCTGGGGTCTGTGGCATCCGTCGCTGTTTACCTTCTGATAGATAAGGAAGAGTCACTCCCTCTTCGACCTTACATCTGTGTATCCACGTAAAAATGGCGCATGCGTGTGCGCACTTGGCACACTCCGGGAAAATGGCGGCGGCTTAATGCGTGCGCATCATTTCCCTTGCTATGCTGATGCCTTTGCGCCCGTGCAGTTGACATTCTCCGGGAAAATGGCGACAGCTCAATGCGCATGTGCCATTTCCCCTATTTAAACCGCAGACGTCTGTCCCGCCTCTGTCGAGCCTTCCCTCTGATGATGTGCCTTAGCACGAAAGGCCTTAGAAGGAGCTGCACAGAGCATGACGTCATTTTGCCGCCAGAGCCACGAGGAGGCCCGACGGCCATCTTTTAAAGGGTCAGTGTTGCATTTTATGTGGATTTTCATTTTTGCTCGTTTTAGTATATTTACTGCCCTGAATTTTTCTGTTATACAATTAAACTACATTTGAGAAATACTACACTATTCTGGCACCTGTTTTTTGGGCTCCTATGTGGAGCTATTACATCTACAGAACAACGTCCTATGTCATCCAGTATCCAGAGCAGGGGTCCTCAAACTTTTTAAACAGGGGGCCAGTTCACTGTCCCTCAGACCATTGGAGGGCCGAACTATAGTATTAAAAAAAAAAAAAAACTATGAACAAATGCGGACACAGTACAGGAGATGACCAGAGACTGAGGACATACAACGGTGGCGGGAATACTGGGCCAGCTGCTCCATAAACGCACAGACATTTCCCCCCAAGTGTGTCTTATGGAGCAGAATAGTGCCCCATCATTGGTATCAGGGGGGGAGGAATAGTGTCCCATCATTGGTATCAGTGGGAGGAATAGTGCCCCATCATTGGTATCATTGGGAGGAATAGTGTCCCATCATTGGTATCAGGGGGAGGAATAGTGCCCCATCATTGGTATCAGGGGGAGGAATAGTAACCCATCATCAGTGTCAGTGGGAGGAATAGTGCCCCATCATTGGTGTCAGTGAGAGGAATAGTGCCCCATCATTGGTGTCAGTGGAAAGAATCATGCCCCATCATTGGTGTCAGTGGGAGGAATAGTGCCCCATCATTGGTGTCAGTGGGAGGAATAGTGCCCCATCATTGGTGTCAGTGGGAGAAATAGTGCCCCATCATTGGTGTCAGTGGGAAGAATCGTGCCCCATCATTAGTGTCAGTGGGAGGAATAGTGCCCCATCATTGGTGTCAGTGGGAGGAATAGTGCCCCATCATTAGTGTCAGCGGGAGGAATAGTGCTGTTATGATCCGCCAGGTGGTGCCTCCGGCTGCCCACCTGACAGACCTATCCAAAGCGTGGAGTCTAAGTCCCGGTCTGTGCTTTCACCAGGGCCCCTGATGGTGGGAATGGACTTGTAACAGACCAGGACCAGGTCACGACCTCTGAGTAGGCCCACCAGTGGCAGAGGGAACCTCCGGGGATGTATAGGTACCGGGAGACCCAGATGTGAGGAGGACGGCGGACCTAGCAGGATGGGTCACGAGCAGTGGTCCCGTGGGGTAAGCGAGGTACAGAATCGGCAGGCGGAGAGTAGTCAGGTCACATGCAGGGTCAGCAGGATAAGTCAGTCCGCAGATAGGTCAAACAAGCCGGAAGTCAGGAGGGGAGAAGACAGAGTAGTCAGGGCAATCCGGGTCAAACACAGGAGAAGGCAGCGTAGTCAGGGCAATCAGGGTCAATATTACAGGTACAGGAACTCAGGATCACAGATAGACCTTGCGGCAATCTGTGACAGTGCAGGGCATCTTTAAATATTGCGCCCTGCACTGTCATTGGCCGTCCAGGATGCGCCCCCGGGCTGTCATTGGCCGCCCGAGGCGTGCCCGCGGCTCCTACTGTGCATGTGCGGCGTCCTGTTAGCTGCGGCCCGGCGTGAGCCGCCGCTAGTGCGCGTGCGCCGGGGGAGGCGCCACAATGATCCCTGACAAGTGCCCCATCATTAGTGTCAGCGGGAGGAATAGTGCCCCATCATTGGTATCAGGGGGAGGAATCGTGCCCCATCATTGGTGTCAGGGGGAGGAATAGTGCCCCATCATTGGTGTCAGGGGGAGGAATAGTGCCCCATCATTGGTGTCAGTGGGAAGAAACGTGCCCCATCATTGGTGTCAGTGGGAGGAATCGTGCCCCAGCATTGGTGTCAGTGGGAAGAATCGTGCCCCATCATTGGTGTCAGTGGGAGCAATAGTGCCCCATCATTAGTTTCAGTGGGAGGAATAGTGCCCCATCATTGGTGTCAGTGGGAAGAAACGTGCTCCATCATTGGTGTCAGTGGGAAGAATCGTGCCCCATCATTGGTGTCAGTGGGGGGAATAGTGCCCCATCATTAGTGTCAGTGGGGGGAGGAATAGTGCTCCATTGCTATTGGTGTCAGTGGGGGGAGGAATAGTGCCCCATTGTTGGTGTCAGTGGGGGGAGGAATAGTGCCCTATCGTTGGTGTCAGTGTGGGGGGGGGGAATAGTGCCCCGTCATTGGTGTCAGTGGGGGAAGGGGATAGTGTCCCAACATTGGTGTCAGTGGGAGGAATAGTGTCCCATCATTGGTGTCAGTGGGAAGAATCGTGCCCCATCATTGGTGTCAGTGGGAGGAATAGTGCCCCATCATTGGTGTCAGTGGGAAGAAAAGTGCCCCATCATTGGTGTCAGTGGGAGGAATAGTGAACCAACATTAGTGTCAGTGGGGGGAAGAATAGTGCCCCATTATTGGTGTCAGTGGGGGGAGGAATAGTGCCCCATTGTTGGTGTCAGTGTGGGGGGGGGGAATAGTGCCCCGTCATTGGTGTCAGTGGGGGAAGGGGATAGTGTCCCAATATTGGTGTCAGTGGGATGAATAGTGTCCCATCATTGGTGTCAGTGGGAAGAATAGTGCCCCATCATTGGTGTCAGTGGGAAGAATAGTGTCCCATCATTGGTGTCAGTGGGAGGAATAGTACGTCATTGGTGTCAGTGGGAGGAATAGTGTCGCATCATTGGTGTCAGTGGGAAGAATAGTACGTCATTGTGTCAGTGGAGGGGAATAGTGCCCCGTCATTGGTGTCAGTGGGAGGTGGAATAGTGCCCCATCGTTGGTGTCAGTGGGGGGGTGGAATAGTACCTCATCGTTGGTGTCAGTGTGGGGGAGGAATAGTGCCCCATCGTTTTAGTCAGTGGGGGGAGGAATAGTGTCCCATCATTGGTGTCAGTAGAGGAATAATGCCCCATCATTAGTATCAGTGACACCAATGATGGGGCACTATTCCTCCCACTGACACCAATGACACATAACTTGCTGACCCCTGTTCCAGCATGGTGCTGCTGCAGCCAGCATACCTGGTTGCAGCAGCCCCATCAGCACAGCACACTTACCTGTCAGCTGTCCTTCTTCACTCCAGCCTCTCTCTCACTCTATGTTCGTGGGGCCGCTCGGCTCCACCTCCTCGCAGGTGATTGGCCGACCTGTGTGCCTTTCCTGAGCTACAGTTCTGGCACCCAATCACCGGTGAGGAGGCGGGGGCTGAGCGGCAGGAGTGAGGGAGTGGCCGGAGTGAATGAAGGAGCAGCGCTTAATGGACTGGATCGTTGTGGGACTGGGACCGGAGTCAGGTAAGGTACAGCAACCCCCCCCTGCCCGCCCCTGTACTTAGTGTCCCTTCCTGTCCCGCCCCTGCCGGCGGGCCGGATAAATGGCGTCGGCGGGCCGCATGTGGCCCGCGGGCCGTAGTTTGAGGACCCCTGATCCAGAGGAGGGAGCCCTGTATGCAGGCTGAGCGCCCATCCACCCTTAAGGGGACCTCTGGCCCCAGCAATATCCCATACCTAACCCAGGCTGACTGACCAGATCTCAGAAGGATGCCCACCACCTGCTGACTACAGATTACCACCTAGGATTAATATTCCTACATGCGCATTTTCCATGTGCTTCTGGTGAGTGCGTACTTCTTCTATTTTAGTCACAGTTCCATTGGGATAACTGCTTCATAGGATAATACAGCTGGTGCCTACTGTTGAACTCTGATAGACTCATCTCACAGAAGCTTTCTACTTCATTATCAGTTGAGCACTGCACTTTATTTACTTTCAGGTAAGTGGAGGTATTAAACTTAACATCTTTCAAGTCAATTAATACTTGCTTCGTATCTCTCAAATAAGCAGGCGTAGTGGTGACCAATGGTTGCAGGAAAAAATTGATATATTCACTGACACGAGAACTAAGTGAGCCAATGCCACTCACAATTGGTCTTCCAGGAGGGCAAATTGGATCTTTATGGATCTTGGGGAGGCAATACAGAAAAAATTCTCTTTTGTAGGTGTGACGGAGGGTAAGCGGGACAGAACACACAAGGCAGACGGCAAACACTTAAAGCTTTATTAAAACAGACAACAGTCACTCAATGGGGAGTAGTGCAGGGTGAGAGAGCCCAAAATACTTGTAATCCAGCCCCGGTGGACAAAGTTAAAGGCTCTACAGCAATTTGTAATCCAAGAGGCAGTTCATAAGCAGTCAGATAGCACAAGGGGAGCATACACTCACGCAAAGCTGATGCTATAGTCTCAGGCAGAGCTGACAGCATTCCAGGCAGGGCTGATGTAGCTTCTGGGATCCCCCTCCCCCCAATGGGGCTCAGGCAGTGCCGGGGGGCCACTAAAGTCCAGCTGGACCCCTCATTGGTTGCCCAGCAGAATGGCACAACAAGAGAGACCAGCACTGACCTCTTAAACCCCCTGAGCAGGAAGAGAGGCGGAAGGGGGTCATTAGCAGGTGACAATGAAGAGAATGGAACTACAGTAATTTAATTTGTGGCTGTACACAGAAAGGACTGGTTGGGCAGGATAATTAGTGGGGGGAAATACATTAATACAAAAGTAAGGCACTAATTAGGGATGTATACACTAATTGAATTTGGGACCTTTTGTGGAGGGGAGAGTTAATTACAGCTAGGGGCCTTTGGCACACAGGAGTGAAAACCAATTGGAGGAAGCTCTTCCTAAATTTGGGACCTTTTGTGGAGTGGTGAGTTAATTACAGCTAGGGGTCTTTGGCACGCAGGAGTGAATACTAATTGGAGGAAGCTCTTCCTATGGCCAGGAGGGATTAGGAACAAGGAATTAATACTACTTGGGACTGGCAGAGACCCATATCGTGACACTCCCCCCCCCCTTTTTTTACAAGTGCCGATAAGGAGAACCCAGACCAAGTTCCCTTGAAGGCACTTGTGGGCCCCTGACTTAGCTACTGTGGGTCTTTCTGGTGGGAAAGGCCATCTGCATTTTGGTGTTGGCTTCCCTGTCTATATCGGATGGTGAAAATGTAGAGCTGGAGGGCGAGGCTCCACCTAAGGAGACGCCCATTTTTCCTGGACACCCGGTTCAGCCATTTGAGGGGGTTGTGATCGGTGACGATGGTGAATTCCCTGCCGTACAGGTAGGGCTGTAGTTTCTTTAGGGCCCAGACTATAGCCAGACATTCCTTCTCCACCGTAGCATAGGTAACTTCCCGGTCCAGTAGTTTGCGGCTGAGGAAGGCGACGGGATGTTCCTCCCCAGCCTCGTTGACTTGGCTGAGGATGGCCCCTAGGCTGTAGGTGGAGGCGTCTGTCTGCACAAGGAAGCGTCGGTTGGGGTCAGGGGCGGCCAGGACGGGGTTGCTTGCCAGGACGGATTTGAGGTCATGGAAGGCGGATTCACAGGCCGTGGTCCAGTTCACCATCCTGGGACTGTTTTTTTTCCGGGTCAAGTCAGTCAGGGGCTGGGCCGTGGAGCTGAAATTGGGTACAAATTTACGGTAATAGTCGGCAGTACCAAGGAATGCCATAACTTGTTTCTTGGTCTGGGGGGTGGGCCAGTCATAAATGGCTTGAACCTTGACTGGCTCAGGTTTCAGTGTCCCCCCCCCTTCTCTGTGCCCGAGGTACTGTACCTCAGCCATTCCCAACTGGCACTTGTCTGGTCTCACTGTCAGCCCGGCCCTGCAGATGCGGTCTAGGGTGGCCACCACGTGGGCCAGGTGCTCCTCCCATGTGTCGCTAAAGATGGCTATGTCAGCTAGGTAGGTGCATGCAAACTCTTGGCATCCCTCTAGTAGCTGGTCCACGACCCGTTGAAAGGTGGCAGGGGCGTTTTTCATGCCAAAGGGCATGACGAGGAATTCGTACAGGCCGAACGGGGTGATGAAGGCAGAGCGCTCAACACCCTCTGTCGTGAGGGTGATTTGCCAGTAGCCCTTGCTGAGGTCTAGGGTGCTAACGTATCGGGCCCCGGCTAGACGGTCCAGCAGGTCATCTATGCGGGGCATGGGATAGGCGTCACTGACGGTGTAGTCATTTAACCTCCGGTAGTCCACGCAAAAGCGGGTGCTCCCATCCTTCTTCAGAACAAGCACCACCGAAGATAATGTTGATAAATGTAAGGCTATGCACTTGGTTGCTAAGAATATGCATGCATCATACATACCAGGGAGGGTACAATTGGGGGAATCAATGGTCGAGAAGGATCTGGGAGTTCTGGTAGATCACAAACTTAACCATTTGCCGCCCGCCCTATGGCCGAATGGTGGGCGGCAAATGTCATCAGCGTTCCGGGTGGACACCATATGGCGTCCTCCCGCATATGCGCAGATTGCGCTCCTGCAGAGCGGCGCAGCGGCGCGATTTGTCACCGGCCGTGTACCTCGGACACGGCCGATGACAGATCTGAGTATCTGCCCCGTTGCCAGTACCATGTGACCTGCTGTGACCAATCACAGCAGGTCACATGACAGTTGTATACAATGGATGGGTTCATTCATGCCATCCATTGTATACTAGTGTCTAGCTGTGAATGGTCACAGCTAATCACATGCACATGTCATGTGATTAGCTGTGGCCAAATCACAGCTAACCACAAAAAAAAAAAAAAAAACCCTGAATGAATCCATGTCATTCAGGTAAATGCTTGCTTATAGCAAAGTAATTCTTTCCTATAAGCAAATTGTGTAAAAAAAAAAAAAAAAATACTGATCACTTCCCCAAAGTAGTACAATGTTACTATGGTAACATTGTACTACTTTGGTCATAGTGAAATATGAAAAAAATCTTAAAAAAAAGAAAAACAATTTAATAAAAAAAAAAAAAAAAAAAAAATTCTTTTTTCATACTGTCACCAGTCAGTGTCCCTGATCATCGCCATGCCAGTTATATG